CGTACGTCTCGCCGGTGGACACGCCAAAACTACGAAGGCGATCGATCCCCGAGCTCTTGTCTTGAGTGTCCCAGGCGGCCGCCAATTTCTGGATAAAGAACGCGTACGTCGAGGGCCCGGCCGGTTCCTTGCGCAGATGGTTTTCTACCTGTTGGAAAGTGGCATCAATAAATTCCAGCGTGGCACGGTTGGTGGTTTGACCTTCAACGACAGCAGCACGAACACGTTTGCGCAACAACGGAAGCCATCCTGCGACCCAGGTGGAGGAAGCGAAAGTCTGCTTGCGTTTGACGTCGCTTTTGTTGAGGATCTCGGTGACCACGCCCTTGCAGCTAGACGCGAAACGAGCAAATTCATCAGGATCAGAACCAAGGGGCAAGCGTGTGACACTATCAAGTTGTTCCGGCTTCAGCTTGTCCATCTTGTCTTGAATGCGGATGGTGTCGGCCTCCGCTGCAGCGGCGTCCGCAGCGTCCAAAGCCTCCTGCCTCGTCCTCGCCCCCGTGGAAGACAAAGGCAAGCTAGCATCATCCTGAGGCAACGGCGATGTCGCGTTGGCCGGTGACGCCATGACGTGGCCGGTCGCCGGGCGAGGATCGATCAGGATAGACGTACGCGGGAGGGGGGGGGGCACCACCAAAGGCTGTTGTAGCAGAACTGGGGCGGTCGACGCTGATGACACCACCAAAGGCTGTTGCGGCAGAGCTGGGGCGGCCGGCGCTGATGACGATGACACTGCCGTGGTCCTGGCAGCTGCCTCATCGTGAACCTCGTACCCTGAACGAACTCCCGAGGAACTCGAAGCGTGGTCTTGCAATGGTGCCAAATGCGCCCGTGACGAAAAGGGAGGGGCAGAAGGTGGCATGCTAGGGGCGTTCGAGGGCACAGAAGGTGGTACATTCGAGTCGGCAGCAGCATCCACAACTTGGCCAGGCGTTTGCGCGCGCAGGAGAGTGAGCACTTGTTCCAACAGCATTTCAGTACGGGAAGCCGAAGTCGAGGCGTGTGATGCAGCATTGCGTGGTGAACCAACCCGTTCGTCCAAAAGCAAGGAAGATGTGGGCTGATCTACCACGGTGTGTGTAGGGGCATGGCTTTTAACCGCGGCGGAATGTTCACGAAGTTGCATGTTGGCAAGTTTGAACGCCAAAGTAGACACGGGCGGTGGTCCTACATCAGCGGGGGGGGGCAAAACCGGTGGCGAAGAACAGAGTGAACCATCTTCTGAGGCAGTCTTACGTTCCCCCAACAGCCCAGAACTACGAAAATCACACCGATCATACTGCACTTGCCTGCGACCCCGACCTGACTTCCGCCGCCCTTTGCCCCCTCGACCGCTGTCCGAGCTGGTCGCCCTGCTGTTGCCCCCGCTCCTCGTCGGGCTCCGGCTGCGGCTACGCCTACGCGAAGGCGTGTTGCTCCCGCGGCGGTCGCTGCTCCGGCTGCGACCACGCCGAGACGAAGGTGCGTGACGTGGCTGGCGGTCGGTGCTCCGGCTCCGGCTCCGGCTCTCGCGGTGTCGACGCTTGGACGAAGATTCCGCGTACCCCCGCCCGCCATCTTCAACACCCGGCCCTCGCGAAGTGCGCTCGGCCGTCCCGCTCTTGGCCGTGGGGGCTTGATCACCCCAACGGCTCCTCCGGCTGGCGGAGGCAGGAGCCGCCGACAGACTGTAGTCCTTGGTCCCTCCGGAACCATGCGCACGGCGTGCAGAATCCTGCTGTGGGAGCTGCAGATCATGCTGAAAATCGTCGTTGGTTGCCGTACGAGCGAGCGGCAACCGAATGCCCCCGTTGTGCACCACCACCGCGGTTCCCTGGGGACCCTCGGTGAAGGAAGCCCTACGGAGAGCAGACACTAACAGAAACACACTCTGTCGTATGGACGGTTCTAACTGGTCGAGGAACGGACTCGATACAAGATGTGCAAAACCAAGGTCTGTATAAGAGTCAGGACAGCGGTCACGCACGATGTGTTGGAGGCCAGCCCACGCAAAAAGGGCACTAGTTCGGTCAGCATCATGGAAGGTGATCACATCTGTGGGCGTGGAAAGGGGGCGGGACAGAAACGCTGTGTCTTCTGCGTGAAACCTGTACTCCTCGGCTTCGTCGTCTGACGCGCCGTCGGCATCCCCGGCCGGCCCACCCAGCGTCACAGAAAACTGGGGAGCAGCAGCCACTTCCGGTGCCGCCTGGGGCGTGGGAGGGGGCACGACACGACGACGGGCGGGTCGCGAAAGCAAAGTTGAAGCTTGCGGCCGGCGCCCGAGGTCCTCCAGCCGTGATCGGAGCGCCCCTTGCTTCGCCCTAGCAGCCCGGACATACTCCTCGCGCGCCGCTAGTTCCGCTTTCTTCTGTGCAGCAGCCCGAGCAGCCTCGCGCTCCTCCTCCTGCTTCCTCGCAGCCTCCGCCAGAGCAGCCTCACGCTCCTCCTCCTGCCTCCTCGCAGCTTCCGCCAGAGCAGCCTCACGCTCCTTCGCCTGCTTCCTCGCAGCCTCCGCCAGAGCAGCCTGACGCTCCTCCTCCTGCTTCCTCGCATCATCCGCCAGAGCAGCCTCACGCTCCTCCAGCAGCTTCCGCTCTTCCGCCGCCGCTACCTCGCTAGCCAGACCGCGGTGCCACATCTCGGTCAATTCTTGAAAGGCGGCGAACTCATCTTGCGACAAGTGCATCACCATGTCTTCCTGCGGGAGCGAGAAAGGGCGAGCGCAAATGGGGGAACCAGGAGACAAACGAGCTGCCCTGACCACGTCGCGCAGGGAGATCCGTCCCGCGGTGTACGCTTGTTCCAGGTCCGCCGGATCCGCCGTGGCGATGTTGTACCTCAGGTCATCAGCTGCGGACGCGCCTGGAGTGGACTCGCTCTCGTCGCCCGTCCCGGCCCCGGCAAGCAGCTCCGCGGTGGACGGCTCGCCCTCGGCCTCGTAATCGAGGATTTCCTCATTGCCGTCCATCAGTTCCACATATCCGCTGGACATGGTGTTCTCTTTTTTCAAAAAGACAGGGCCAGAGGAAGGGCAGCTACTATCGATTTTTACAAGTGCAGAACGGCCAGCAACAGTAGATGTGTCACCCCCAACCGCTGTTGCGACAGCAGAACCGATTGCAGCGGAAACAGTAAAGCGGGGCGTAATCGCGGTAGAAGCAAACCGAGGTCCATGCGAAAAACGGAGATACCCACAGGACAGCATACGTCCGGCGATAAAAGCTTGATGCACACGAGGTTGAAGCGGATCCAACCAAGCAGAAAAGGCGTCCAAAAGCACACCATGCCACGCATACACAGCAGTGGAAGCTAGCACAAAAGGACCGGTATTAAATGGGGACACGAGATTGTCCGACCAAAACACACGCAGAGCAGCACGGCGTTCCTCCGCAACGGGTGCCGAAGTGCGAGCAAAGACCGCTGTGGGTTTGCGGTGTTGAAAGGTTTCCAATTCGAATGCCTTGAGGGTGAATGATGCTCCAAAAAAATTTCCATGTGATTGCGAAAAATGGAGGGAAGGCTGGTGGGGCGGCTGACACCCAATTTGTGTGCACACAATGCTCTCCACGTCGAAACAAGCGGAGTCAAATCGGAGAGCACCACAGGGAAATCCGCGGACATCGGCCGGTACGCCGGCATGAATGCAGTAGAAGTGGTAGCGGACGCGGGAAGCATGCTATCATCTCGAGTCCCGCTACACAAAGACAGCAACTCCGGTTGCTTCATGCAAAGCGTGTCCGCCACCGAAATAACTTCATGGACCGCCGATGCAGACAAAATAGCTTGGGAGGGGCGGCGAGCGTAGGAAAAATCACCTACAACATCGCGATGACCGCCGAGACGCGTATCCTTCGCAAGGTCCCAGTCCCGCGGGCGCTTAGCGAAAGCATCGCAAGCCAGCATCCTCTACAAGAGAAGAAGCAGAGAAGGCTAAGTCTAGAATCTCGTGGGTGGTGAGACCAAATAACAAACAACCCCGTGATTGTGAAGAAAGCGTGACAACAACACACAGCAGTGGAGGCCGCGTCCAGCACCCGCTTACCGTGTAATGCCAGCTGACGCCAAGTTTAAAGGAGGGGAAGCCGTGGGTGGTAGCTTGCTCCTAGAGATAGATGAAGGTAGGTTCTGTCGTTGACACGCTTGTCCACGATCACGTAGAGATGAGAAAGTTGCTTGTTATTGCTGAGAGACGATCAGCAAGGGTCTGAGGTGAAGTGGGGATCCAACTTCACCTCAGGGGGGGTACGCAGACTAGACAAAATCCTAAGAGGGTAGGTGTCTGAAGGGTATACCTCCTGAGACCGACCCACATCCTATCAACAATAAGATGTACCCTATTTAAGCTAGCAGCCACACTCCTTAACAATTGTAAAAATCATGGAAGATGGAACGAAGTATATACAAACGGCAGTACATCACTCGTTTTTCAAATCTACAGATTTTTTAATTTCAGGGACAGCAGTTGTTTCCCGCCGTTTTCTTATTTTACAAAACGTATTTGATCCTTTGGGGTAACGTATCAGTGATGTTTACAGTAGATGAGAATGATACACCTGGTGCATGGTAGGTAGGGCTTGGCATTCAGTTTGTATCATGTAATACAATGTAGCTTGTTTCTTGTTATGTTTGGTGTTGGTAAACACCATCAGTAGAGCACGGAAATTTTTCAAATGATATAGTCTACATCCAATGTGTGTGGCGGTTGTTGTCAACTTCCCTGGTGTTCCTCAGAGCGGTTTGCCGAGATATCTTGTCGCAACCATGTCGTAATCACGTTGTAGAGCATCCGTCATGAAGGTCAGCAGCAGCAGCGAGTGGCAGTTGGTCTCTCGGTGTGGAGCAGTGGTGTGGACATGTTACGGAGTACGGCGAAGGATACAACACGTAGAAATTACCCACCTGGATGCACAGCGATCAGTAGCGAAGACGATGTGTGTCAGCCACGAGGTCAATATGGGAGAGCACCTTAGCACGAAACCCGATACAGCAGCTGGTTCGCTGAGCGTGTGCATGAGATGGCGATACGACAAAACATTGCGGCCGAACACATTCCGATTCGGGACAACACACATGTCTACATCAGCTGTTGTTGATTTAACGCGCGTGACCTTCAAGTTCGACTTCGCTCTCCCCCCCCACACGCGTTCTCTCTCTCTCTCGCTCTGATCGATCTCGTCGACACGAACAAAAGAAGAGAAGCAACAACTGGAGAAGAGAACAGCAGGTAAGTGGGGTACCGGTGACTGTTCGAGAATGTGTGCGTATGTATTCTGCTTGGCTCACAAGGACAACAACATGCATCACTGACTAGGGTGTCCACGGTCCGTGTCATGTGTCATTGAAGGTAACCTTGGAGCGCGGCAGTATAGGTCAGCAGTGGAGCGGGTGTTGAAAAGCACGATGACTCTGGACTAGCAGCTTTTCAACAGCAGGCACCTACCCATACGCCGATGGGTGTAGAGGACGTGCGTATAGCGATATGTGGCAGCGTGTGTGCAAGTGGCGCATGCGGTAGATACTGCAGAGGCGGCGAATTCCTTGCGGCAAAAATGCGGCGAAAATCGAATATCTTGCACACAAACAAGTCAAATCTGCCTGCGGTCTGTCTTCGTCTGAGGCGATCTTTTTGCTTCCACCATCACAGAAGCACCCCCGAAACAGAGATAAGTGAGACGTACACAACGCTGTAGGCCAAGGGTGGCCAATATACACATCCTCGGAGGCACCGGGGGCAATAATTAGAGCCCATTGCCCGCTGTTAGCAGCGAAAGCGAGGAAAGCAAGCGCACACCAATCCTGCGCGGCAGCAGCAACAAAATATAAGCAGCAGAGCAGCAGCTGCTGCTGCTGCTGCATCAGCTACATGTAGCTGATGATTATCAGAGCTAAACAGCGCTCTCAGTCCTCCTCTGACTGACTGGTGGTGTCGGGCGAGGCGTGAGCATGTGCACTGGTGACCTCTGTGGTGGCGTAGGCTCCATCCATATCTATCTACGCTTGCTTTGATGTCTCTCTCGGCCCCCTTCTTTTCGCGCTTCGCGCGAAGAAGTATATATATTTTTTGTTGGACCCCTTTGTATGGGAGTGGAGTCCAGGATTCCGCGGTCAATCTGTCAATACGGACTCACCGCAGGAGTCAACGACCCCCGTGTTTCACCCTACAACAAGTACCCTTCTGAAGACGCTGGGCACATGAACTATACAACTTACGGACGGCCGTTTCACAGGACGCAATTACGCACCAAGCGTCACCATCATGGCAGGAAGGAACAGCGGTGGGAGGTCAACGACTTCTTCTCACCCTTCCGTCGTAAGCTACGGCAGGGAGGTCAACATCGTCGAGAGATGCTGGGAAGTCCTGCCCACCGGCTCCAAACCCAAGGCAGGCCTCGTCCTCATCCACGGCGGCAATTGGCACAGCGGCTGGTTCGGGGAGCTTGGCGACCTGCTGTCTTCCGCAGAGTACTCGATTCGCGTTTCGGCTCCGGATCTTATCTCGCATGGGCTCTCTGATGATCCTGTTCCCGGATACAGGTGCAGAGCACATACCCTCCTCTCATGATAAAACACCTGTGTGTTGTGGTATATGAGGCTCGCCCTGGCCCCGAAGTTGGCCGCCGAGCACGTGTTGCGATGTAAACAATACTTGTAGATATAAGCCTAAGGTTTACGGTGTTTGAATGAAGAGAAGGCTTGCCCCTCGATACGATTCTTCCCCGCGGGTCTCCGTACAAAAGTTGTTTTCCTGCAGCAGGTGCCTTTTTGTTTCGTAGGCTTGGGTATTTGGAGGGAGGCGAGCGGGGGCTACACTGCTCCGAGAGCACGGGGGGCTCAAGCTCGCTCATAAGCACCTACGTACTGAAGTTCCTTGCGCCGTTCTACAGATTAGCCTAGAGGCGCAACAACTTTAAAGTTCTCATTTTGCCCGAGGCTAGAGTGTCTTGTTTCCTCTGTGGCAAATCAACACGTTTCGTGTGGAGTGAGGTTCAAGCCCTTACATTTGGAAGAACAACCACCTTCTTGACCACTAAGCGCTCTGGTGGTGGCGCAACCTGCGGTCTAGGCAATGGTAGGTCACAAGTTACCCCCATTTACTGTACCGTGTAGAGCTCTACTTCCGACGAGCTCAGCCCCTTTTAAGCGCCCTGGAATCATAGAACCGCTCCAGAATTCAGAAAGGTCTACAGGACATCTTCTCAGCGGAACCAAAGGCCATCGTGTCACCCGAGTGGCGTGCTAACAGTCCGGCGTACTCCCTGTTTACATCGTGTCTGCTATTTCCCCAGAGCCTACTGTCCGGACTTCGCGAGCCAGGCCGAAGAAGTCGGAGCGGCCATCGCCCGCGCGCGTGCCGCTCTCCCGAAAGGCTGCCCCCTGTTTGTTCTTGGAGAGTCCATGGGCGGCCTCTGCGCTCTTCAGCACCTGATTTCGGAGAAGGCCAACGACCTCACCGACACCGTTGACGGCGTAATTCTGTGCGGGGCCCTTCTCCAGATCGCGCCAGGGCTGCTGCCTCCGAAGGTCGTGTTCAAGCGCCAGAAACTCTCTGAGCGACACAAGATAGATGCGTCTCGGTTCGGATTCCACCTCCCACGCCCACCCGTACATACACCCGCTGACTAGCTTTCAAGCGAATTCTGTTTTCTCTCGTCTATCCCTCGTCCGAATCGAGGATCCCCAGGCAAAACTCCCAATTATGGCTGAACTCAAGGCCGCGAAAAACTTCATTTTCAAGGCGTAGACTACATCAAAATTCTCCCTATGGGGCTGGGTGCGCGTTGATGGCACGCCCCCCCCCCTCCCCAGCTCGTCGGTACGATCCGGGTGATACCGTTACCTGACCAAAAACACCATCAAGCGCGTACCAGAATCTGGAGACCATCAACGTAGAGGCTGCGAATGAAGTATTTGTACAGAAGCCTTTCGAAATTTTGAGTCCTTTGAAAGCATGATCAATCACGGTGAAATCGCACACGAACGACTAAACGCGCAATATTGCAAACGCGGTAAGTACCATATTTCACGGCCTACCATGCACGTGCCAGTTTCGGTTGACCTCTACCATGTTTCCATCGAGGCTGAGGGTTTCCGAACTAACGACCAATCCCCGACAACAAGCCTCCTCGCAGCCCTCACACTCTTCCCTTTCGGCGAACACTTCTCCATCCACCGTTCGCAACTGCGTTTGTACACGCAGGCGGTTTTCCCCCTGCTCCAGGCCGTGGGGTGGCTCATACCAAGTCTGGGCGTGCCAGGCGCGGCGATCGGAGGCGAGACGTTTGACACGGCCTTCGGAGACCCAGCCGTCGGCCCGGCAGCTCGAGCGGACCCCTTGGTGACCGAGATGGCACCGCCGAGGCTCGGAATGATGCTCGGATTCCTGAAAGCCATGGACGTGACGAAGCGGGAAGGGCCGGTCAAACTCAAGGTGAGAAAGCGAGGAGGGACGTCTGCCGTGCAGGTGGCGCAAAGGGGCTGGTGGGCGCGCGAGTGTTTTTTTTGCGTGCGAGAATCAGAGGTACAGCGGTTAGACCCTTCTTTATGGAAAAATAATCTTGCAATTATATCTTGGCATTTTGACCCAAGATTTGCTCACATTATATCTCCGCGAAGATTTGCAGTATCGCGATTTATGGGGGAAATATCTTGAATGTTGAAAAAGCGGCGTGTTGTTCCTCTCTTCTGCTTGAAGTTGAAAAAGGCACAACGGCCACTTGGTCCACAGAAAATACCAAGGTGTGGCGAAAAGTGAGCATGACGCAGTTGTAGAAGGGGCATCCCTCCCCCAGCTGTATTGCCTCAACACTGTGGGTGGATACTAGCGATGGGCGCCTACCTGGGGTGCAAAATTGAATCTGTTGCCCACGAGCTCATTTCAAGCGGAGAAACAAAACTGCTCCATTGCTGTCCAACTGACAAGAAAGTGCATCAACCTGAGGCCGATGACACCCATGCACGTATCTCACGATGTACCAGGCGTACCGAGGTCAAACCTCCGGCGCTGTCATCTGCACCCACGGATTTGGCTCGGGTGCAAACGGATTGGGTGTGGGGTGATTTGATGAAGAGATAGAAGCGTCGCACACGACAGAGCAGTGTTGGCAAAACGTTCCTCCTACTCTATTTTTCTACTTCAAAATAAAGTACTCTTTGAACGGTCCCTCGACAGACTGGTGATGACGCACGTGGAACGAGCCAGGGCAAATACGCATTTTTTTCGCGCGCCTTGGTTGTTTTCGTTCGCTGTCGGCGCCCGTGGCGCCGACACAGTGACGCCAGGGTGCGTTAAAGACCCTTGCGAGTGTGCCACGTGCAGATTTCATGGCGTTATGGACGATTAGGTTGACTGACCTTCGGTGATCGCGCCGCACTGAGGCAAGATTTGTTACGCCGCCTCACGATTTGTCGGAAGGCTCGTTTCGACAGATCTTGGGTCAAGATTTGTTCGAAAGGGCAGATTTCGGGCCTCGAGAAATCTTGGCCAAGATATATCGGAAGATTTCGCTCCCATAAATCGTGAAACTGGCAGATCTTGGCCAAGATCAAGATTTATCGACAAGATTTTGTTCCCACAAATCGGGGTCTTATGAAAGAAATACGAATATTTGTATTTGCTCTGTGACATATTCTTGCACCCCGTGAGGACCATGGGGATTTGCGTCGTGTTGCGTGTCCGTATGACGTGCTTCTGCTGGTGAAGCCGCTTATTGAGGTCGTCTAGCACCCAGTTCAGCCAGGCGAAGTTGGTTTTTCGCTCTAAGGTTGCAGCGCTGGTGGGCATCCACTCGAGGAATGAATACGGCAGGAATTTAGTTTGTCCTGACCCTGCTTGCCGTACCCTCGTGCCCAGGTGAAAAGCGTGCTGATGATGCACTACAAGGGGGACCAACGCACCCTGTACGAGGACTGCCAGCGTTTCGTGGATGATCTGCCCATGGAAGACAAGGTACAACAAGAAAGAGGCATGTAGGTTCTCCGACTGTCTCTCTATGTGTCTGCATGTGGGTGTGTCTCGCTGCCTCTCTCCACTCTCTCCCCCGCCCTCGTTGGTAGTCCCTGAGCGCTTTTCTCTGTCGGATGCCGAACAAAGGTGAACACATGCTCTCTGCCGAGGTTCTCTGATCAACTTCTTCGTCGAGCTCACAAGTCAAGTTTCCCCAAGGCTTAGCTTGCACAAAGCTTGCCTCATGACGCAGCCACGCCTGGCTAATTACCATCTTGGTGATGCATTAACGATCATCCCCAGGTGTGCATCCCGCTTGAGGGCGACAGCCACCAGATCTTCCAAGATACACCGGAGAAGAGCAAGAAGCACATCGAGACCGTGGGTCGCTTCATCACCGAGCGAGCCGGCTGACGAACCAAAACAAGAATCGACCGCAGATTCGTGGAGTGTCATCTGTTGGTGTGGTTTGTGGTTGCTCTCACTGCTGAGGTGTAGCTGTGGTATGTTAACCACTCGAGTGCACTGCGACTCGTCATCAACCAGGCACTGTCCCCGCACATACGCAAGAGGATAGTTGTTGAAGTCTTCCGGTACGGTTTGAACATCCCTTTTTTTCTGCGTGGCAAGGGTTGCATGTGCCAGCGGAACGTTTTTCGCTTGTGTGTCTTCACGTAGACTGAGTATAGCTTTGTCCCTCCTGAGCTGCGAACGCCATTTGGAGGATATACACACCGCGAAGGCTTGCTTATATAACGGGAGTACATTTAGGAGTGGCGCGGGGGGTTCAACGTCATTGCACGTTCGCCGTACATCGCCGCCCACAAACACGAGCGTAACTCGAAACTGACACTACTGGCCTGGGCGAACTCGATACTTTTGCCGCAGGGCCGGTGCTAAGGGCTCCCCAGCCACGACACGAGTCACATAGAGCGAGCCGTCGACTGCAGGTTATTACCGTATGTAAATAAATAATTTGTGCATGCGAATACCAAACTAGAGCGGACCCTGGTTGAGCCGGCGGTAAAGATGGTCCGAGGCGGTGTGTTCTATAATGTTAAGCAATCGAGTGAGGCGAAGCGGCCTTGTGTTCCCTGAAAAGCTGGTCGGCAGATGCGGGGGTATATACTAGGGAATTCGTAAATCAAGTTAGGCCATGAGCGTTATTGAGTCACATGTGTCACTGGAGCATGCCGGTCGTCCGAACTTTCTTCCATCTTGAAGTTGGTCCAAAGTACTTAGAATGGGAGCAAGTGGATTTAGAAAGGGGTTCCGTATTGGCGAAATCAAGGGGTCACTTGAACAAGGGTAGAGGTCGGCACGGTTAGACATTTGCAGTCATTGTTTTACTTGTTCCCCCTGGCTGGTCGGTAGCACGACTCGGAGGCTCTTCAGCGCCCCCTGTTATCCTTGTCAATATCTACTGCACTCAAAGATATTCATGGATTCTGCTAGTCGTTGCTTAAGAGTATTTTCGAAGGTACGGCTGTAATAGTTTCTCAAGTATCGGGCCATGTCTACGACAATGACTATACGGTGTCAACTACTAGGGGCTCGAACGGTACTACAAGTGAGTGTGTCATACTTGGCGTTGTCGGCGTGTCAAACGCAGTGGTTCGGTGGCATTGCGTTTTGTCTTTTCTCCTACATAATACGTGATTGATGATGTTTTTCTTTGTGCGCTTTTCTCCACTCTTGATTAGTCGAATGTACCCTGTTTCGGTGTGAGGTGATAGGCCCATGTCTATTTCTTCCCCCCGCGTAGGGTAACTTGATGCTGCCACATTCTTGTATTCCATCTATCTGGAAGCAACCTCCTTTTCAGTCCCAGAACGTGATAATCAAGGTTCGTGAACAACTACAGGGCGTTCGTTTGGTACGTCCGTGAGTTGGTGAAACATTCTAAACCCGCCTCCGCGCGAATAGCGGCGACGACCCTATGCGCCGTGTAAGTACGTGAAGGTAGAGCAGCCGATGAGCTCATATATGGGAGGGCGTGGACAGAGGGGTAGAGCCTACGCGATCGGCGGGTCTACGCTGTTCCGCTGGAAAATGGTGGCACTGGAACAGTCCCCTAACCGCGGTCCGCCTCCATCCGCATGTACCGTGTGAGAAGGAGTGTCATCGGAATTGAAGGAAAGAGGTTGCATCTGCGCATCATCCGAGTAGTTTAATGAGGACTAGGGAGGTGCCAGGGGAGACCGCAAGGGGAGTCAAGAGTTCTTGCGGATGGAAGCTACTCAGCAGAGATCGGAACATATGTTAATGTGAAGACAACAAGCTTCTCGGGGTAGGGAAGAGGAATTCAGAATGTTTTTAAGAATGCAGTTACTGTACAAACAACCGTTTCTCTTCGGGCTGGGTCAGATTGTTTCGCATACAGCCGTTCGGGCATCTCCACTGGACACAACACGCTGTACAAGGTCGTAGGTACCCAAATTCCAACACGTTTGTCCCAAAGGGGGCGCAATATCCTGGTCTGAGCACCAACGTCTGGGCGAACCGAGCCTACGCAAGTGAGAAGAACGAGAATGTACCCATGGCTGCCTGTCCTGACAGAGAACCCCAAAGAGCGGTGTCGTTCTGAGGTAAGTGAGACCCGAGATACAAAGCACCAACTTACAGTAGCTGTGCTACATCAACGGAGAGAAGCAAGCACCGTCGAACACCCTCTCACTGAAAACCAAACCCGGGGCACGACCAGCCCAAGACGGGTGGCGCCCCGTGCGTCAAACATCGACCACGAACATGTGCAAGCGTATTCCCGTGCCCCGAAAATCGGGGTGAATGTCGTCCTCGCTGGTTCCTCGGACGCTCCTTTCTCCGCCTAGCTCCTCCCTCAGATCCTCAAAAAACGCCTCCTCTGAGACATGCCTTCGTTTATGTGCCAAGAGCACAACTACCCGCCGCCGTCCCGCTCTCTCCGACCGGCTGCGGCCGGCATCAGCCATCAAACCCTTCATTGGCGACGTTTTGATTATCGCCGGTTCTCCCCTACCGCTTTCACAGCCGGAGCCATCGAGGGCTTCGCAGCTGTCGGAAGCAGCAGTGTTTGAAATTTCCGTGTTCTGGTCCTCTCCGGTCACGTGGTCAGAAATTGTTCGAGGTGGCGACGGCGCGGTGTGGCTGACTTGGCCACTACCCTTGGTGTTGTTTACGAGCGAAACGATTGTTTGGAGGAGGTCGCCATAAGCCGACGCGTAAGGCAAGGCGGCGATATCCGACCCCAGCACCACGTCCCAAGCACGAGAGCTTCCGCTGTCGCCGTCTCCCCCGAGGGGAACACCAGCAGCGTGCATGTCGTCTGCACAGCCCCAGCGAAGCTTTTGCACCGAAATGGTGGCCGCAGTGGCCGAAATGGTGGCCGCAGTGGCTTGTGGTGGCCTTCGATCCGCAGAACTCTCGACGCTATTGGTGCTGCCGCCTTTGGAGTCCGCATTGCACCCGGTTCTCTCCTCCTCTGCAGCGGTGGCGTCTTGAGCTTGCTGCTGGTCGCAGCAGGAGGCGGTACTAGGACTTCGCCGAGAGAAATCGGGCTGGAGATTGTCCGTCACGTTTCTCTGGGTCAGTTTCAGGCTTTCCTCGTCTCCATCGGTTAAGCATACCTCGGCGGCTCCTAAAGGGTCGTGGCCCAGGGAGGGGGGCGGGGGGGCATCACCAGTTACTCGCCCCTATCGCCGCGCCACGTAGTAGTAAAACTTTTTGTCTTCGCATGAAATTCGTATCAACCTGTGCAGGCCGTTCGCTTGTACCAGATGCCAACGGGGGCGGCGGGGCTATGGGCGCATGAAGAACGGTTTCGGGATCCGATCGTGAGTTCTTGACAACACGAGAAGAACGGTCTGGCGTGATGTGACGATTTCGACGAGCAAGATAAAACAACCTCAGGGATTCTACAAATAGGTGAAAAACATGCAGAACATGGGCACACAAGGTCGCTCTACCATCTGCCCTACGGGATCCAACGGGGTTCTTGCCTACAGACTCGAGACTCACCAAGAGTCGCCGCGGCAATACCTAGAAATCCTGTGCCAGTACCTGGAGAAGAAAGCGAGCGGGTATGGCAAGTAGTAGGACAGCCTGCTTTTCGCACAGGTATGGCGGGCCACAGCGGCGGGAGTGCTTCCAATCACAACCAAACCAACGAGTGTAAACAACAAAAAATGTGGTGCAAATCAGGGCTATGACCAGCCAGCATCCATCTCAAACTGAGGGTGGGTTTCCACCTTTAAATGTCATGCAGTGGTACTGTAGAGCAGCAAAGAGCGCAGCTCGCGCCGGAATAGCACAACACCCACCTAGCTCTATCACCCGTTTCCCGCGCACGAGGTAAGGGTGGCGCTCAAGGTACTCCGCGAGAACATAGGCAGCTGGGTAAACGCTAGCCCCAAAGCCAATGTCCGTCCCTCCCTTTCCATCTCCTTTCCAGGCCTTGTTCGAAAGATGGGTGGAGGGGGCGGGGGGGAGGGAGGACGTTGTCACGTGAAGTACGAATGCTGCTGTGATAACAGGTCGTGTGGTGCGGCAAGTTCTGATCCTACTACTTGACGACATCGCATCTGTCCACAAAACACACTCGCTCTTGCTGAAAAGCCCCACCCAACGGGAGAGAGAAAGGAAAAGAGGAAAGAGGAGGATGGCCCAAGCAGCAGCAAGCAGAGGCGACGCCGCGTGAGGGGGTCAAGGTCAGTTGAAGCACCGTTCGCAAGACCTCTGGCGGCGACCTGAATCCTCCGCTGTGCAATCGATTCTCTGGGCATCGACGACTCTCTGCTCTGTCTGGCTGTCAAGACCGCCGTTGCTAGCTGTGAAGAAGAAGGAAGGTGAGCCTGCAGGCTGCGCAGCGATGACAACAACGATGTTCAGGAAACCATGGTTCCGGAAGCACCCAATAGTTGGGGGAAAATATTGGATGTTTCAATGCTTCATGTCCCTTGTCCTGCACCGCTGTCTCAACAAGGTCCAGCAATATTCCACGGGGTTCGTCGGGCTGGAGCACACTCTATCCTTATGTTTCACAGCCGTACATTAGGAAGTGTTGGTTGTTCTGCTGTTCGGCGTTGGTGGCACACACCCTGTTCCTCCAAAGCACGTTTGCGGTAACTACTTCTTAATGTATCACGGATACGCAACGCGTTCATGCGATCCTTGGGCTGGGAAGCAGCACTTGGGAGAGATTTTTCCAGCTGTATCCGGCCGTTGGGCATGTCTGGTCTCCTCGCTGTGCGTTGCGTGCACAGGCAGCTACATGTCAGCGGCGCTGGTCGCCCACCCACCTCCTGTTGTTTAATGTACTTGGTCACCTGTTGTATTTTGAGGAGTTTGCCGTCGATGGTGAAAAAACGTTCCTTCAGTTGGAGCTGATCCGTGAACGGTGACGCGTAGGAGTGAAGCACTAGCGCCATGACACTCCACAACACCACAACGCACACGCGCGTTTTGTTGTTGACACCCCTCCGCAAAGAGCGGGCGGCCAATATCCCGCGCCCCCGGAACAGGCTAAGAAATGCAGGTGGGCGTTTGTCAGAATTCACAGTCTCGCGATGTGTACCCACCAGCGCACCAGTGCACCAACCAGCGCTAAGGGGTTTTGGCGCTAATCAAATAGCATCATCGTCTGCGGGGTGCGGCTGGAGGAGCATCTGGTACAACACAACTGGGAACATGGTAAGAGAGAGTGCAGGGGGCCACAGTTTACTCCATATGTCGTCTAGAACATCATATTCCACGGGCTGACACAGACCGCAGACAACAGACAACAGACCTCTTTCAACATCAGCGCAGAAGAATGTCTCTTGCGAACACCACACAGCGACGTTGCCTAGACTATGCTTTATTACTAATGCGATCGGATTCATTTACTGCACTGTTGGTAGTGTGTGGAAGTTGAATAAATGCCCTCGAGTGTGTAGACCACGTCTTCTCCACAGCGATTCGTCTACATAGAGATGCCACAGCAGTACCGATCTCGTTCACCATTTAATGCTGTGCAGCTTCAAGACCTGTCTAGGTGCAGTTCTATGTTTTGGTCTGGAAACTTTCGTTGTTGTCCCTCGGCATCAAATCCGAGGCACGGATATCTACTTCCGGAGAGCAAATAAGTGCTGCGGGTGTAGCAGTGCTGTGGGTCTGACTCATCTTCTGCTGGAGTAGAACTACATCAAGTACACACCCCTACAAATATGCACAGCGCAGAGGGCCAAAGGAAATGGTCTAGGGTTATTGGAGGGACAGTTCGTGCGGTGCCAGCGTCGGTGCTAACAGCGTCAGGGAAACCCGTGTACCTCTCTTCCGTGCGCGTGTGCCAAGCAGAAGTACTCGGTGGCCGCAACAGCGCAGTGGTTCTTGGAAGGGTCCCGGAAGTACGGCGCCAAGGGCTTCGCCAACGCCTGCGCCTCTTTCTCGCCCGGCGACCTGGACGTGGTGAGAACGCCACGATACGAAACGCAGTAGTAGTAGGTGAAAATCTCGCCTAAGAAAAAAATGTGCACATGTCGCGATAGACAGAGCAGCGCAGAGTGTATGCGTAGCTCACCCGAGTGTGCCGTTTTCAGACTGGGTTGACAGTGCAGTCGCGTGTCCTGATTCAAAGTCGAGACCCACTGTGCAAGAAGATCAACAGTATTTCTCAACCCCATCCGTGTTAAGACTAGTGGCGGTCGGAGGAATCCGCCCGAAGCTGCTCTGAGCTCTTCCGGTTTTACACACTAAAATCAACATGGGGATACTGTAGCATGACGCGACAGCAGAAGGACGCAAATGTGTCTTGGAGATGTTCCGAAACCCGCGATGCAGGATGCCAACAGGAGAAAGGGAAAAAAAATCCATGATAATACATAGTTGTTGTGTTTCAGCTCTTGGCCCTCCTCTTGCCCTCCTCTTGCCCTCGACGCCATTTCAAACGAATGAAACCACAGAACATGCGGAGCAAGGTCGCTTGCGTGACGGGCGCAAACTCCGGCATCGGCTACTGCGCGGCCAAGTCCCTCGCCGAGCGAAACTGCACCGTGCACATGCTCTGCCGGAACAAGGCCAGGGGGGAGGAGGCCAGAGCACGCCTCTCCGCGGAAACGGGAAATGAAGACGTCTACCTCCATGTCGTCGACGTTTCGGACTTTCAACAGGTGCCGTAGAGGAAAAGGGAAGAGAGGATAAGTTTTTGTTTATTTTCAGGTGCTACTGGTATATTTTCATTGTATCTGTGGCGAAATCATCACGTTTTGACTGTTTTTGCACGGTGCACTACTTGCGTATTATGTTGCACGTGTGCTGTTAATTTTTTGCGGCGTCCGAGTTCGCTCCCATCTTGTCCACGCATCAACCCCCCCCTCTCGACGTACAAGGTGGAGACCTTCGCCGGATCCTTTCTGGAGTCCAACACCCGTCTCGACGTACTGATCAACAACGCCGGAGGAATGCCCGCCGAGAGGACGGAATCGGCGCAGGGGCACGAGGCCATCATGGTAAGACCGAAATTGCTGCGAGGTTGCCGGGGTGGAATTCGCCCCGCACACCGCCATCTGGAAAACAATGTTCGCGTTTCACAAGAGTAGACGCTACCCCAGACTTGGGAATAGGGCCGTTTTCACCGCTTCAGTTGTCGGGCTGTTGGACCTCGGATATTCTCCCGAGGGATGTAATCCCTAGTAAAAGCGCGAACGATCTCCTCTCGTAGAATCAGCACAATATAGCTGAAAAACAAAATCCCGGCTTCGTTGGAGGGGTAGGATTTTCTATCGCAATATTTAATACTCCACGGCCGTGTAGGATTCGAGTGAGTAGCAGTCGTCTGCGGCCCTTCCCCCCCCCCCAAGCCTGACAATACTACAACACGATCGCGATCCCATCTGCAGGCGACGATGCTGGGCGGCACCTACCTCTTGACGAAGCTCTTGCTCCCAGCCCTCGAGAAGGCCGCGATGACGGCAGAAGGCTCGGCAGCAGCAGCAGCAGCAGCGACATCATCAGCGGAGGGGGGCGCGGACTCGAGACCCGGCGGAGGCAAGACGGGGGCCCGCGTGATCAACGTGTCCTCCGGGGGGATGTACACGGTGTCCGGGGCGGGGATCGCGGCAGACGTGGACAGCAAGGGAGTCGATCCCTATGACGGGACGGTCGTGTGAGCACCGGGTTTCTGTCCCACCTGAATAGATCGCCGGAGCGCAGACAGACCCCAGTTTCTGGTTGGGGGAGGGAGACGGCGGGAAGCATCACAACCCCAACCAAGTGTAAATAGAGCATAGTCTTCCCTTCGAGACGACGAAGTAGCACACAGACAACAGAACAGCCGTAAGAAGCCACTTTTTTTATCTTGCACAACGCAAGACAAGTTTATACTCAAGAGGTTTGAGCCGAGATACCCCTACGGCACTGAAGAACCCCGTTCCCCCTTCACGCCCCACCCCCCATCCCAGGTATGCGCTGGCTAAGCGAGCGCAGGTGACTCTGACGGAGCGGTGGGCAGCCATGCACAAAGATGGAGGCGTGTCTTTCAATTCGATGCACCCGGGGTGGTGCGACACTCCCGGGTTAGCCTCCGGGATGCCGGACTTCCGCGAGCGGCAGCAGGGTTCGCTGAGGTCCAGCGAAGAGGGGAGCGACACCATCGTCTGGCTGGTGATCATGTGTTTTGTGTGCCTAGTGTGTGTAAACCATTTTTTTTTGGCACCTGCATGGACTTCAGCGTGAAGTGAAACAGGCTGTTCGAGAGACAGGCAAGAGAGAGAAATTGAGAGAATGATGATGGAGGCGTGGGTACGAGAGAGGAGAGAGAGTGGGAGAGACATAGAACAGAGAGGAAGAGAGATAAAGATATGTAGACAGACAGATCGAGTAGGCAAGACCAATAGAGAGACTGATAAACCGCCAGGCTAAATTAATAGGCAAATGCTTTGCGATCAGCGTGCAAAACGAGCACTCGATCTCCCCCACGCTACTAGTTAGTACCCTTCGCGTGGGTCAGCGAGTGTATGGCGTGCCCGGCCTCGTCTTTGGGTGAGTGCAGGTAGCCCAGCAGCCTCCTAGCGATAGTGACGCTCCCCCTCCGAAGGGATCGAAATGCTGGAAAAGTTTTTGAGATAACCTTGGACATCGCTTGCTGGGGGACGAAACCACGTTTTTAATCCCCCAAGTGACACTCGGGTTGCTTGTGAATTACCCGCCCAACGTACCCGCCCAGTACGGTCAGTCACAAGCTAGGCACACCGCTTGACATTTTTCATGCATTTTTCAAGGAATACTTAGAAGCAGACTAAGGACGTGACGTTGAAGCCGGCCAAAACTATCACGCGCTGATTAACCCCCCCAACTCCGGACGGCGGAATCCCGGCTTATTGTTCCGTCCCGGCATTGTAGGGATGCGAGGTCAATGGCCAAACGACACGCACAACCTCGAGAGGCACTTTGTGCTTTCAACCGCGCTGAGTCTTTTTATAGTTCAGCCGGTCAGCGCAGCCGATTCTAATATTTAGTAGAAAATCACCTCCCTGCCCACGGTATTTTTCTGTGCCAGGCTTGTTCACGGGCGGCGTTCGGGGAAACGGGCAAGTTCTGGTTCGATCGAAAGGCGACCCGGACCCACATGCCATTAGCGGGCACTCGGATGTCTCAAAAGGAGGAGGGCGATCTGTGGGAAGCGGTCGAGAGGGCGTGCTCGGAACGCTAGTCTGTGTGCAGCAGCACTTGCACGTTGCGGGAGTTACGTGCGGCCTACGGAAGTGGGAGTGGGTAGCTTGACGTTTGGCGTCGTCGTCAGTATGGTCACGTCGTTGAGCGCCTGGCCGTCTCTCTCTGTCAAGCCCGCGACATCACAGAGAGAGAGACGCTACAATGAACTCTGGTCAAGGTGTTCAGAATCGGGGGTGGGACAGAGAACCCCTGCGTTCATCTACCACGGAGGGAGAGAAGGAGAGAACTACCCTCGTAAGTTCAAGCCCCAATGGGTCGAAGAGGATCTACGAAAATGGCCATGGCGATCAAACGTAATGGGCCCCGGGAAGTCGCAGTCTTACGAGAGCTTGATTCCTGTTGAAGGAGTAATATAGAGCGAGGAATTCCCGAAGTATTGATAGGAAGGATCGAGCGTCCGTCTCTTCATACGTCGAGTTTGGCATCCCTGGAGAGTCTAGGGCCCGACCTCCGAAATTGATCTTTGTTTAACTCTCCGAAGATATTTTCTTGTTCCACTGCTTAGCGGTCGCTCCGGTGATCTAGTTGGGATCCTCGAAACCTTCTAGAGGTCAGGTCAGGGGTTCGAATCACGGCGTAAGCGAGCTTTTCTTGCAAAGTGAGTTTTTCTCTCGCTTCCGCTCCTGGCCTAGTGGATAGCGCTAGTTTGTGTGTACACAGAGGGAAGAGAGTGCTGAACTCTTCTCGCATTAAAAATCGAAGGCAAAGTACGGCAGGAGGGGAGGGTAGAGAGGGGTCCTTCTGTGTGACCATGGGTTGGAGTAAACGGCACTATTATTAGTGCTGTGAGCGCTGATTTGAAGCAATGACAAAAAACAAAAACTTCTTTCAGCGCCGTCCCCCTAAAAGACTGTTCTGTTTTTTGTTTTTCCGACAGTTGATATGCGGCGATTCGCAGACGGTTCTTTTGGGTTTGCCTTTGTTTCAAGCCGCTCAGACTCCTCCCTCCTCTGCATCGGAAACGTCACATTTCCGTGGCCACGAGGTGTCCAAAAGTTTCCCAAATGACTTCGACTTGCACTCGAGCTGCAGCTTTAAAATGCGTTCGTTCAACCCTTCTCACCACCCTCCGAAAGAAAAAAGAGACAGGGGGCATTGTTCAGCGAAAATCATCCATTAGAACGGGGAAGATAATCTACGAGAGGCCGAACACTGGTGTTGCCTCTGCTACTAGGTGAAGCAACTCCCGCTCGAAGGACATGTATGTGGTGAACGGTCGAATTGGGAAAGGCGACAAACAATGAACACCCCCCCGTCCGCTGCCCCAAACCAATCCTTTTACCACCCGATCTGTTCTCACAGCTGTAGCGGTTCCGTATCCGTCCCTCTCTCTCGCGATACACACGCTGGCTGACCGATTGACTGCGTTGAAGTGTTAAACGTGATACGTATTAGGCCGACAAGGCCGCTATCCGAACGAACAGCTTAAAACACGAAATGCGCCCCGCTCAGTAAGCACCTTGCCCTTTCTGGCACCACTGCCCCCTTACTGGCCGCTGACTTCTTGATGAGCTCGCGTCGTTACACACGGTGCAATATTTCGTGCCGATTCGCTGCTGCTGCGGCTGCTACCGTCAAAGGTGTACGGCCGAAACAGGACGTCAATCGGTAAATATTTTACAATCACTGCCATGGTTGTCCCTCTCCCCGCACATTTCTCAGAACGATCTGAACACACACAAACAACCCTTTCCTTCGAGAAAAGAAACGCGCTGGTTTCGGAGACACGATAGGCGCCTCCAATCCCATAGCAATGGCTCCCCTTCACGATCCCATCACCGAAACAGTTACAGTTCCCACACCAGCATCTTCTTCACGTTCACGCAAAGTTCTTGACGAGTCTCACATCATACACGTGTATGGTTCACATCACAAAAGTCCCCAGTACACAACAGACCTTTACAACAGCAACCACAGGCCCCCTTTCAACAGCGACCCACAAGAAAAAGGAGGGCAAAGTTAAAGTTCTGAAGGAAATTGCCCATGCCATAGATAGGTAGGTAGGCGGTACTGGCTGGACGCACATCTTGTCGCCGCGCAAAGAATAAAGTACTACAGTAAGTGGTGTCATCACCATCCTACCTGGGGTGTGACGCCAAAAGAGCACATATATTTCATTCAAGTCTTCTACCTGACGGCAAAACAAAAATGACCCTGTAGGGCAAACATCCTCGGCAGAGATATGCTGTTCGGCAGAGATCAGAAGGAACCTTGCTACAAAACAAATCGTGAATTGAGCAGGCGATATTTCTCCATCGCGCAAACATGGCGTTGCTCTATTTAGCCTTACCGTGGTTTGAACCCCTTGAATAAATAGTCAAGCTGCTGTCTCTGTCTGCTTCGGCGAACAGGAAAACTCAAAACAACCCAAAAAACACTTCTCCCCATCCATGCCCTCATAAGGAATACTCGGTGTTTTCCTAAATTCGTTCCCTAACACGGCTACAAGCAGGCCCGCGGGGAAAACGATGCAGCCCTTTTCGAAGCCACGGCTGAGCAACCAAAACGATTCATGAAAGCGCCGTCGGATTCAGAACGAGTCTCATCACCCGTCTTTGTCTGTTGGTCTAGACGACACAAACAATGGAACTTCGCTGAATGAAACTAAGACAACAATCTTCCAAACCCCTACAACATACGTTGGAGGGCGTTCGTCGTGAACATTCTGTTCATCATCGTGCAACTACTTGCGCCATCTCTTACCGTATACGCGTCAGAGACCCCGACCCTAAACCCTAACCCTACCTCTCGATTCAACGAGAAACGGGCTGTAAGAAGAGGAACACGAAACAAGCAACGTTACCTGCACAATTTCACGTCACCACGAAGAAATCCTCTTGACAAATGTCCGGGATTTTTTTCGGCGCGGATCAGTCTATTTAACCATACTCACAGCAAGCAACCAATCACCGGAGGGAACGAGCGAACGGACTTTCGAACCCGCTTCTCTATTGCTACTTTTACAAGAAACCCCGTATGCGTGCACGCCCTCCCCTCCCCCGTAGAACAGCGCTCCCACTCGACAACATCGCAGTGAACAGCTACATGCCCCAAAACTAATTAAGACATACCTACATACCATTCAGAAGTTATACACCTGTGAGACAGGTTGATAACCCCTACCCTATGCTGTAGCGGAAAAATTGTAGCCTAACCCTATGAACCAAGGACCCCAGCCTTGCCCAAAACTATAGGTGCTCTAGTGCGGCCGCTACTGTACACCGATTTATCCGCGCAAGTGTACCACATCTACCCAACGGGCTCTGGACAATTCTGACAAATACTTCTATTCGGATATCCCACGGGCGCCTCAATGACCGCCAGCCTAGGTCTTCTGTCCCAGAGAATCTTAACCAAGCCCAGAAACATCGCGCTCGCCACCGTCGACACTACCGCGATCAACATCTCGTTCGTCCAAAGGTCTTCGGCGCTGTCGTTGTCGCTGTCGCCGGTGTCTTCAACAGAGAAGGAGCGACAGATTTGATTTGGGGTGTTTAGGGGCGGGGACAGGGCATCGATTGGTGGTGAAAATGGGTAGCTAACGCTATCGTGGTGGACAAGATCTGATTTCACCAAGCATCGACATGTCATTGAACATGCCCTGCTTACATTGCCGCGTTGGGTTTTGGGACTCTCGCGTATTTCGGCACATTGAGTATATATACACCATAGCATGTACGTGCCCGGAGTTTGTCCTCTTCTCTGTCCATCGAACGTTTCGGGCCGTCGTTGTTCGGACACTGAACCGTTCGGGCCGACCTACCACAGAAGTACATTCGTTCTGAAGCTCGAAAGAAACGCAATAGAATCACCGCTGTCGGTACCAGCGGTCGGTATCTACGAGTTGACCAAACGTCTGTCATCAACTCCCTAATCCCGTTGTAAGAATGACTATTACAGTATCGATTTCGACCGATACATTCGGGCCAGTCAAGACGCAAAACACATGGAAGACGTAACTTGCTAGCCTGTCTCTCTCCGCGTGAAACTGTAGTTTATTGTTGAGACCGTGTGTATGGGCGGTGGGACCAAAAATATGGACATGTTGTGGAGGCGGAGGCCGTGTGCTGTAACTCGTGTCTCCAAACGTCCCGGGGGGTGATTCCGAACTTGACGTGTTTCACTGCTTACGGCGGCCCCGTAATGCATAACTGACGGAGGTTAACCCCTCCGTGTGGTCAACGGTAGGAGTAGGCGGTGATGTCTTGTCTCCACCTCCACTGGAAGTCAGTCAACTCACGAAACATGACAACGGTGCCAGTCAACCCCTCAAACACAGCGGTAGTAGTCCTACCTGCAGCTGGATCGGCTGTGACGAGGCGAGAAGTGGGCGAAGAAGTAGGAGGAGAAGGCAAAAGGAGCGAGCCAAGGATGGATGTCCGTCAGCGATGCCGTTGCAGGGTTCAGTTTCGACGCGGGGGTGCGGTGGCGGGGAGAAGGGGGTGGTAACGCAGCGAAAAATTGCTGCCAAGGTAGGATCCAACGCCATTTTTGTGGTTAGGTGAACCGTTGCCACAAGGGTCCTATAGCGTTTTCGTCTTACTGAAGGTCAATCGTGGTACGGGCGGTGAGGGCAGGCAGAGCTCGAGATGATGCCGTGGTTCATGCCAACATTCGGTGACCGGAAAAGCTGCGTGGCACCAAGCATCAGCCAACCGTGCACTGGCCGAGAAACGAGGGTAGGTGGAGGCCTGCCTTGCGTGGAGAGAGGAAACGAGACCATAATCAATCCACGTCCTGCCCACGCTTACCCAAGAATCGCGCCACTCAAGCAAGCGTTCGACAAAAATGCCTCATGTTTTTAGCGACCTCTGTTCCTCCCTCTCCCGACTCCCCTAGTTTTGGCTCTTGTCTCACTTGTGACGTCATCCGGAGACGGGGTTACGGCCGGAGTCGGCGCCGGCGTGGCTGTCGTTCCTGTAGCATCGCTGCCGCCATCGTCATCATCGATTTCTATCAGGAGGTTCTCGTACCAGACCACCTCGGCGTCGTCCCGCGTTGCGGTCGCTATATCGATGTCGCCGTCACCGTCGAGGTCAACAGCGATCAACTAATCGGTAAGAAGCGTTGTTGAGATGACGGTGGGGACGCGTGGGCGAGGGGCATGCGTGGTGCGTGCCATTGCGTCAGGGATGTACACGGTCAAGGATGAGAACGGGACCAGCATGCCTGGAATTTCGTCAGGGTTGTGCGTGGACAAGGGATGAGAACGGCGGCATGCATGCGATGCGTCAGCTACGACGGCTCCAAATTCTGCGCTCTCCCTGCCTGCACTAGGCTCTCGCGTCTCTCGACGTCGAACCATTGCAATGTATCTGCTGACAGGGCACACTGTGGTGGGAACCATGAGGTTGCACCATGCCCAGAAATAACAACAACGACTTTGTCGGCGGGAGAAACCCAGCATATACTGGCTGTGGGCGCTCACACCCACACCCTTTCGAACATTTTTGTCCTTGTACTATTTGTCGAATGAAGTCTCGACATTGCTTCGTTTGGATGGAGACCGCCGGATATTGGCTCATTCCTTGTACTTACGTCGAGTGAAATTCTCCATGTTGCTGCGTTTGGATGGAGGCAACAGCAATAGGGCGCTGGCGCGCGATGAGCGCGGCATCGACAGCAGCAGTGGACGGGAGCCTTCGCAACAACATAGCACCGGCCCGCTCATAAACACCTATTTTGAGCGAGGCTCAAATCTTGTTGGTCCCCACAACCGAGCAAAGGCTTCTATGTAGGAATTAGTGTAGCGTGGGCCGTAATGCTCAGTTTCGTAGGACACATTTCATAAAATCTGAACCTCGGTTTCTCACGAACATATTTCTTACAAGCGGGCTGGCACTGTATTGTCTGAAACACTCACCGAATGTACCCCAATGTCAATGGCGATGGCGATGGCCTCAGAGAAATTCCCCGTCCCATCCGTGTTCTCGTACCACACGATGTGCCCCCCGACGTTTTCGCAGGCCAACAGATCGATATCCCCGTCGTTGTCTAGGTCCACGGCCACCACGTTCCTCGCAGAATCGAGCAAGCCGACGTCCCTCCCCTCCGCGAAGCTTCCCAAGCCGTCGTTCTCGAGCCAGAGAATGCGGCCGTCGGGGAAGTTGCCGGCGGTGTGGTTGCCGTCGAATGACGCTGAGATGATGTCCATGTCTCCGTCTCCGTCGATGTCCGCCGTAACGACGTCCCTTTTTGTGGAAATGGGAGGCAATACAATCAACCATTTCGACGAAAATCAATATGCGATAACATACGTCATACTGTATTCGCGAAACCATATGTCCTGCCGAACTAACAGGGCTATCGCACTTACGTAAAGAGGTGCTTTGTAGCTCCCCCTTTTCTTTCTCGTTCTTCTGCTCTGGAAACAAGCTCGAGAATAAAAAAACACAGACGAACTACCTCATGTGACCGTACCTAGAACAACACCAGACCTATCAAGCGCAGCAATACTGCCAACAAACACAAACATTCACTCACTTGCCACCAGCAGGGTCGTCGGCCGGTTCCAAACTCACGCCAAGAGAAAACGCCCCACTCCCGTTCGAGTTCTCGTACCACGCCAAGCCGCTGAAAACGGACGCCGAAATGACGTCGAGGTCGTCGTCGCCGTCCAAGTCCGCCAAAGCCAGCGTGATAGCACCGTCGGCGGTCGTCGAGATATCAACGCCGAGCGCAAACGTCGCCTCCCCGTCGGTGTTTTCGTACCACGTGACTCGATCTGGCGACGGCGGCGGCGGCGAGAATGGTTTCGGTTTGGAAACGGGATAGGCGGAGCACATGCGTCGATGGTGACGACTTGGGGGTCATTCATGGGACAAATGGCGGCGGAACCACACCAGCCACCGACAATACGGGAAGATACATATTGCCATCCATCACAGAGCGTTTGCTTTGTTCGACGGCCTCAAGCTCGTGTGCTTGAACCATGTAACTTGTTGCCCACCCTCCGCGCCGCAGTCCATGCGGGCACGTAGGATCAGACCCGAAAGCGCCGTGGTCGTTTCGAAACATCCCTCTGTCGTCGTGCTACTACTGCTTAGAGCCGATTCTTCGTACTAGCCCAACGAACCCGCCCCCTGTGGGTGCGGGCCTTTGGTTGGGGCCGGTGTGAGATTTTAGGACTGGGCTTCGGGCAAGAATTTTCGTGCCTTGGGCAGCTGCACCACATCGCAGATGAGCCATAGCAACGATACATGAGGAACTAATGCCAAACATTTCCCAACAACAACAACATTTCCAAGCATGACAGTACAAATCAGACTATCAACGGCTGTCCAAGTACGAGGCACGCTTACCGCCTTGTTTCGATGCCATAATCACGTCCAAGTCCCCATCCCCGTCGAGATCCGCCACCTTGACAGATCGTGACTGATCCCCGTCTTCATATGTATCGATGTCAGTGCCAACCGAAAATTCGCCCAGGCCGTCGAGATTGCTAAACCACGTCAACTGGAAGGTAGTCTGAAAGGCTACGACGACATCAGGGGACCCGTCGCCATTCAGGTCTCCGACGTCAATCGATCTGGTTTGGGCGGGCGGAGACGGCGCCGGGAGGTGTTCGAAGAGTACGATGTGCATGAGATGTGGTACATAACCAGGTTCACGAGATCATTTTTGTCTTGTCGATGGTTGTCAACCTTTGTCGACGGAGGGACGGCAGTAGTAGTATGCCATGTTGTGCGGGTCAGAGAACTCCAGCTCCGTGCAGGGTTCGTGGTCGCAGCAAACGCAAAGATGATGAGGCCAAGGGGGTTTTCCACATGTAGCACCCCCACGATTGACTGCTGTCTCAGGAGAAGCCGAAGCTACCTTACCACGGAGAGCAACAGGAACCCACTTCCCAACTGAACAGCGGCGGCACACTATTTTTTTGTATTTTTTGTCTTGACATCAAATCAGCGCTCACAGCACTCGTTCAGTGTTACTCCAACCCGCGGTCACACAGAAGGGCCTCTCCCTCCCCTCCCCTCTTGCGGTCCGTTGCCTTCGATTTTTAATGCGAGAAGAGTTCAGCACTCTCTTTTTCCTCTGTGTACACACGAACTAGCGCTATCCACTAGGTAGGCCAGGAGCGGAAGCGAGAGAAAAACTCACTTTGCAAGAAAAGCTCGCTTACGCCGTGATTCGAACCCCTGACCTGACCTCTACAAGGTTTCGACGATACCAAACTAGACCGCCGGGGCGAGACCGGCACCACGCGAGAGCGAAAAACAAAAACATGGCCGAGAAAGGTCACACAGCGAGCAAGGCTTTACACGCGTGTCGATCCACTTACGCTGCTCCACCGTAGCCGGACGCGACGTCCACCGCTTCCGAGAAAGTGCCCTTGCCATCCTCGTTCTCGTACCACCTCACCCAATCCTCATCGTAGGATCCCGCCAACAAGTCCAGGTCCCCGTCATCGTCCAAGTCTGCCGCGAAGACAACAACGACATCCTCGGCGTCCGAGTCGACCTTCGTCCCGATTTCGAAGGCCACCGACCCAGCACCCTCGACGGGGAGGACCCGAGATGATGCGGTCAGGAGGCCCAACAGACAACACGCAGCAGGGAAACACCAGCTTCCCGCTGAGTTTGATTTTGATGTAGGTTGCGTGTTTATTGCGATTCGCCGAGGTAACCAGGCGCCGAGAGAGAGGTCGCACGTTGGAGGGAGGCGCCCACCCCGGGGGGGGGGGGGGGGAGCAGGGAGATGCACGTGATTTAGGAGGGAGCACTGTTGATATTTATTCTCATCCCATTTCTCCGGGAGCTAACCACGAGGGTACTTTCCGACGAAGAATTCAGTGTCACACAACATACACACACGAGGTGCATTATTCTACGATAGATCGTCAACTGGTGAGATCGCTGAGGAGGAAACGTCGAGAAGGCCTGCCCACGCCCGCACCGAGGAACAACCCCCCTCCAAGTTCGCGCAAGGGTGGGGCAACAAGTCCTTCTTCTTCTGCTCCCCCACGTCGGAGTGAATCTGGTCAAGTTGCGCCTTCACCACATCGGTATTGCTAAAATAGGCAATCTCTAAAACAAGGGGTCGCAGGGAAAAATAACATGTCGAGGGTGCGGGTAATACACTCTCGATTGTATCGTTTTCGAATGGAGCATACAGGTACCCCCTGTGTGGCTTGACTTGAGCCTCTATGTGGGTGGTATACGTTTGGGGACATCGCATGGCCGGTGCAAACCGTCGGCGGCGGTGAAATGCACTTGATTGGTGACCTTTGCTTCTATTGGCTAGTTTGTGTTAATGCTGCTTGGCCTCGCGTGTCGAGTGTGAGAAATCGGCTCAGTGTGTCAATGTCTTTGTCGGTCTTCCTGTTCCGACGTGTCTCCTGCTGCCAAGTTTGACGGGGATCTGACGTCATTAGTGTAATATATCGCGGTTTGTGTTCTCTTGGTCCGTTTAGACTATGCGTACACCCATCTGGGTAGTAGTTAGCCCGCAACTGCGGGAGGCGTACAGTGTACGCATGTGCACGTAGCAGTATTAGGAGGGGCCACACCGTGACCACACATCAAGCTGGGCCCTACACACAAACCACGAGCGCACGTTCACAGCATGGGAGTCTCCCACACTACACTTTCTACAGTTTTCCCAAACGACCCATGGGACTCCCATGGGTGACCCATGGGCCGCCAAGGGGCACCCCGTTCAAGGCCCATAGGCACTTTGTTGCCCATGGGTC